AAACGGGCTACGAAATATTTTAAGCAGTAATTCATGGGCAGTCGAAATTAGAAAATTCGCCACAAATGGAAAAATCCAGCCAAAGGCGCCATTTACAACCCTCTAACCGACCAGCGCAGTCGGGCCTCACGCAGCTTAGGCCTTCGGACGCCCGGTCCGCGGCCTCCGCCCGGCCACCCTGCGTCACAGCACCCACAACACCCACAGCACCCGCAGCGACCCCCAACCCCGCGGTGACCTCACCTGGCCGGAGGGGCCATGCGGGACGTGCGGCTTCGGCTTCCACGCGGCATCGCCACTGAATAAACCGGTCGGCGTCTGCAAGTGCGAAACTCCTAGAAGACCCCGGCGACTTCAGCCGAGCGCCAGAGAGCGGAAGACAGGGGGCGGGGCTGGGAGCGTGCGACCAATCAGCGCGCAGGCAGAGCCCTTCCGTTTGTTGACGTCTTCCGAGGGCCCTGAAGGTCACTGGGAGAGCGCGACCACGCTACAACGTCTCGTCGCGCGCGGTGGACGTCGGGAGCTGGGCGCCGGGGCTGTTTAGAAAACCGGAAGTGCTTGTGGCAGACTTTACGTCCCGGCCTTGCGTGAGTCAGAGCCGGTAGCAGGTTGAGGGTACGTCACGAGGACCTTGACGTCTTCCTTCAAACGTGTATTACTAACGTGGTACGTCAAGTCCAACCTTGTGAGTCAGACCTCGGTGGGGACTACCACTGGACCTTGGGCAAGTTACTTAACACTTCTCAGCATTAAATTATTTAGGTAAATATTCTTTGAGGCAGTGCGGGCACGTAATATGAACTGAGGGAAATTGAAAACTTTAGACAAGAGTCGATGAGACGGTTCTTTTTGTATTTCTTTTTTAAAAAAAATATTAGATGTTGGGTTTTAATGCACATAAAATATTTTAAGACACTAAAAAAAAATATATTAGGTTTTTTACAGAGAGGGATAGAGAGTTAGAAACATTGATCAGCTGCCTCTTGCACACCCCCTACCGGAGATGTGCCCACAACCAAGGTACGCGCCCTTGACTGGAATCGAACCTGGGACCCTTCAGTCCGCAGGCCAATGCTCTTATCCACTGAGCCAAACTGGTTTTGGCTCATACATGTACAAGTGAATACTTGTACATGTTTGTATTACTATACATTTTCAACCATTTCGTATATCTTATAGAATTTGTGCCTACAACTGAGGTAGTATTCCCTGATAAAAATGTTCTGATCTACAAGTGCCAGCTAGTTTGAGACAGCACCAAATAAAACAAGACTACACCTTCCTTAGTTTAACTTCAGGGAGGAGAGAAGCCAGCGCCCGTGTAGATCAGGTGATGGTGATAGGAGACAAAGGCGGGGTAAGGGAGACAGATATGTAGGCTGAAGAGGACAGGATTCCTTGAAGAGGCAGCATTTGAACCACAGCCAGTTCTTACCAAGGGTAAAACCATTCCTGGCAGAGGGAGCAGCCATTGCAAAGGCCCCAGGGGCCTGTGCTGTAGCAATAGCCTGTGTGAAATGTTTTTAACAATAACATTTTAGGGCCTCTGCAGTGGGGGAAAAGTTGACTACTGGCATTTCATGGAGGCTTCCTGGGGATGGGGTGGAATTTATGGAGGCAAGAAAACAGAGGTGGAACCTCCATTTCTTCTTGGATACCCATCAGAAATTTCCCCCCTTCCACAGGTAGCAGAGTTTAACACAACCTTTCCAGCAACAGCAGGGTGTTTGTGGAATCCAAGGATAAAGTTTTATTTTCATAGGACTTCTTAAAGAAATTAATGCTTTCTAAATGATAAGACTTTGGCCCTATTGGTTTGGCTCAGTGGATAGAGTATCGGCCTGTGGACTAAAGGGTTTGATTCTGTCCAAGGGCACATACCCGGGTTTTGGGCTTGGTCCCCAGTAGGGGCCATGCAAGAGGCAGCCAATCAGTGATCCTCTCTCATGTATGTTTCTCTCCTTCTTCTTTGAAATCAACAAAAATATATTTAAAAAATAAAACTTCTGTTATCTACTTAATTTTAAAATATATATATATATATTTTTTTTAAATATATATATATTTTATTGATTTTACACAGAGAGGAATTGAGAGGGACAGAGAGTTAGAAACGTCGATGAGAGAGAAACACCGACCAGCTGCCTCTTGCACACCCCCAACTGGGGATGTGCCCACAACCAAGGTACATACCCTTGACCGGAATCGAACCTGGGACCTTTCAGCCCGGAGGCTGACGCTCTATCCACTGAGCCAAGCTGGTTTCGGCTATCTACTTAATTTGAGTAGAATTTTTACTGCAATCATCAAGAGCCCATTCTGAGCCCCCAATCCAGGCATATTCCCTGACTAGGAATCAAACCGTGACTCCTGGTTCATAGGTTAACACTCAACCACTGAGCCACACTGGCTGAGTGATAACAGAAGTTTTAAAACTGTACAAATCCTGTTCCAGAAATTCCATGTCTAGGAATGAAGAATTAATCATGAAAAACAAATAAAAAACCGAGTCATGTATGAGAGAAATTCAAATGAAAGAGCAGTCTACAAAATAGTACACATAGTATGTTTATATTTTGAGAAAATGTATTTTAAAGACTGGCATTATATACACCCAAGGAATGGCATTATCCTTTGAGTAGTGCTTTCTTCTGTTTTTGTGTGTCCATATTTTCCAACTTTTCTTAAGTAGACATACTTATATTAAACATACCATGGTGGTTTAAAATGCCCACAAATGAACAGTCCTTTCAAAAAGTGGAGCCTGATCCCTCTCTCCTTGAGTGTGAGCTGGATTTAATGACTCACTTTGAATGGATAGAAAAAAACAAAAATGATGATGTGCAACTTGGGAGAGTAGGTCTTAAAAGGTACTGTGGCTTCCTCCTTGTTCACTTTTTCAGATCACTTACTCTGAGGAAAGCCAGCTGTCACATCATGAGGTCACTCAGTGTAATGTGGCAAGGAAGTGAGGCCTGCCAGCAGCCACGTGAGTAAGCCACCTTGGAAGCAACCTTCTCATGACTGGTCTCAGCCAAAAGCTTGACTGCAACCTCATGAGATGCTGAGCTAGAACCACCCAGTTAAGCTACTTTGAATCCTTGGCCCACAGAAACTGAGATAGTATTTGTTCTTTTAAGCCACTAGGTTTTAGAGTAATTTATTATACAGCAATAAATAAATAATACACATTTCTACAATTACTATATTTAAATTGTAAATATTCTAGTATCTAAAATGAGCAGAATCTAGTTAACATACATTAGAGTGTTGCTTTAACATGGCTTATATCTGTCTGAGTATGCTGTACTTTACAGCAGAAATTGTATAGGAACTGAAATGTTTGAAACATTAAGGTTCTTATACTCTAAATGTAGTGGTTGTTTTTTATAACTAAGACATGCACATATGCTTTGCACATATCAGACAAAAAAAGAGATGAATAATTTTTAACTAACCACTAAAAAACAGAAAATATATGAAGAAGTTAAGTGATACTTATGTGAAGTTCTATAGGATTTCAAAGAATGGACATTCAATGTGAAGGCTTCAGGAAGAAAGTGGCATTTAAATAATTATAGGTGGAATTAGTTTCAAGATTAAAACTGTAAAGGGGAAAACAGTATTCTAAATACGACAGCACAGATTCAAATGAAGAATTATAGTGAGTATAGAGGACAGAAGACCTGTACCAAGAATCAGTTTTTTTGGAAGTTGTGTCAAAATTTAAGAAAATCCAATAGATAATTTCCAGCACAATAAAAGAAATCTAGGCTTTTTATCCTATAAACTTGAGGGTTTTACATGATTAAAATGGTCTTCTGGTAGATTAATCTAGAGTTGAAGCAACTTGACTGAGTCAGTATAGTTTAACTCCAAAGTGATTCCTACCATAACACACTGCCTGATGTTGGAGGAGATATTTAAAAGCATGTAGTGGCTCTGACCGGTTTGGCCCAGTGGATAGAGCAAAAGGTCCCAGGTTCAATTCTGGTCAAAGGCATGTACCTTGGTTGTGAGCATATCCCCAGTAGTAGGTGTGCAGGAGGCAGCTGATCGATGTTTCTCTCATAGGTATTTCTAACTCTCTATCCCTCTCCCTTCCTCTCTGTAAAAAGTCAATAAAATATATTTTTAAAAAATAAAAGCATGTAGTGAGTAAAATAATCAAGACTTTGTAATCAGAGAGGAAGGATTGCATTCTGTAAACTTAAAAATAGTTACCATCTATTGAGCATCTAATATGTGTCAGGCCCTTAACTATGTCGGATGTTTCATATATCCTATCTAAAATCCAGTTTGGCAAGGTAATCCCATATTATGCCCATTTTACAAATGAGAAACCTGAGACTTGGTGGAACTTGAAAGTAGTTGCCACTCAGAAGTTCGCTGACTGCTAGAGTGATGATCACAGCTAGGATTAATAATCAGCTTGCTCCTTCCAGTACACACCTCTCTTCTAACCATGACTCATCACTAGATGCCAAGGGCTGAATGAATGCACAGTGAAGATAAAGAAAGCTACCTGGCCATATTCTGTATAATTTTAAAGCTAAAATTCAACTTTTATCCTTGGACATGGAGGTTTGTGGTTGTTTCTGAACCACATAACATTGTCTACAGTTGAGGAAAGTGTGATGCTGGAAAGAGTGAATGCTTTACAAAAGTATCTGTTATGCTCATCTTCTTTCTAATCAGCTGTGCAACTTCTGGAAGGACATGTGAACTGTCTGGGCCTCAAGAATCCCCTCTATAAAATGGATTGTTGTGCAATGTGAAGCGCAGGGAACCTAGCAACCAGGTTCAACAGACACTGTTACAATTTAAAGTACTCCTTTTCTTGGAAAACAAATATTAAACCTGCACACTTGAGCTGAAATCTTGTACAAATTCCTCTTTGTTCTCCTCCCCCATTCATCTTTGTGACCTTTTCTTTAGGAAGAAGAATCAAATATTTGTAGACTTAAAACTAAAAAAAACAAAACCCAAAAAACTAGAAGTTAAAATGCCACTCTTGCTGCTGCTCTCTTTTTAATTAAAAACCCTAAAAAGGCATACCCACTTGGATGTTACTTAATTAACAACCAGAGTCTGGCCGTTGAAGCAGTAAACTTAAGCGATGCCAAAACCAAATTCTGTTGACCAACATGGATTCTCTCCCCCTTAAGTCCACCGTTACAGCTGGAGTCAAAGGAAAGACTTTTTTTTATCAGTTCCTTCGGTATCCTGTAGAAAAATCAGACAGAAAACAAAAATCAGTTATTTTCTTTGGTCCGAGCATCAGCATTAAAAGTAAACCCCTCACTTGTATTTTTTTCCCTTTTTTTTTTTTTAAATTCTCCCCCCTCTTCACTTGTATTTTTTTAAAATATATATTTTTATTGATTTTTTACATAGAGGAAGAGAGAGGGATAGAGAGTTAGAAACATCAGTGAGAGAGAATCATCAATCAGCTGCCTCTTGCACATCCCCCACTGGGGATGTGCCAGGAACCAAGGTACATGTCCTTGACCAGAATCAAACCTGGGACCTTTCAGTCCGCAGGCCCTACACTCTATCCACTGAGCCAAACCGGTTTCGGCTTCACTTGTATTTTTAAAAAATATATATTTTATTTATTTTTTACAGAGAAGAAGAGAGAGGGATAGAAACATCAATGAGAAAGAAACATCGATCAGCTGCCTCCTGCACCCCCCACCACTGGGGATGTGCCCGCAACCAATGTACATGCCCTTGACCGGAATCGAACCTGGGACCTTTCAGTCGGCAGACCGACGCTCTACCACTGAGCCAAACCAGTTTTGGCTCACTTGTATTTTTAAAAAAATATGTTTTCTACCTTCCCTAGCCTCTTCCACCATTCCAACTGCAGTCAGGAGATAAGCTGTGGGCCAAACGGGTCACCTGCGACTCGCTAAGGCGGTGCCGCTTCCGAAGGGCCCACTCTGCCCTGGTCGAGTCTTGGGGGACCAAGGCGGCGATCGCGCTCACGGGGCACCCCGAGCCCTAACGGCGTGGCCGGTACGCACCGACGCGCAGGAGAGCCGGGTGCGCGGCCGGGGCTGCAGCTTGCGCTGGCGCCGCTTGCGCTGGCCGTTGAGGAGCTTCTGTGCGATTTTGCGTTCGTGGCCGCCAGGCACCGGCCAGTTGGTGCGCAGTTCCCGCTCGCGCTGCGTGCGGCCCTTGCTGTGTCCGGCCCCACCGGCCGGGAAGTCGCGCAGGTAGTAGTAATCGAGGCAGTCAGAGAGCTCCTCCTCGGAGCTCACCTCGGCTGGCAGCGGCAGCGGCGGCGCCAGACTCGGGGCGTTGGAAAGGGCCAAGTCCATCGCGCCGGCTGGCCCCCAGCCGGCGCACACGCGCCTTTGGAGGCCCCGCCCCACACTGCGATTGGCTCCGCCTGAAGGGGGCGGGGTCTAGGCAGATGTCACAGAGCTGGGCGTGTTTCCTGCTGGAAGTCTCAGGCTTCCAGCTGGGTCAACCTGTGACCCCTTCCTCCGCCTGTGTCTTTGTGCAGGGGGGTGAAGGGGGGGCCGCCCCCCCGTTGGAGAGGGTCAGTTGGCAAAATCCGATCTTGCACTTCCTTTATGTTGATCAAAAATGGTAAACTAATAGTATGCACAGAGAAAAGGCCACATGAGGACAGAGCAAGAAGGTGGTCATCTGCAAGCCACTGAGAAAGGCCTCAGGAGGAACCAACCCTGGTGACATCTTTTTTTTCTTTGGCGCATCAAGTTTATTATGAAACTTGAGAGAGCTAAATACTTTAATAAGCACCCCTATAAACATAGGAGCAAAAGAGAGCAGGGGAGGGAGAATGGCCCCAGGAAAAACAGTTCTGGTCTCTGAAATTTTCATTCAGGTCTGGCGGACTCATAGGGAGGACAGCTTCTCTTGACCCCAGGGGGCTCCAGTCAGTCTTCTAAGCTCAAGGTATTCTGGATAAGATGCTTCTGAAGGCCATGGAGATGCCGATACTGTCCTGATGTGAATCCCATGCATAGAATGCCTCTCATTTAGCACACCTCCATGGTCAATCCAAAAGCATGTATTTCTGGCTTTGCTGTTTGCATCCAGCTTCTGTCTCATCTCTCACACCACATGGCCTGTCTCTCTGGAGCTCAGCATCTTCAAAGTTCAACATTTAAAATGCAGAAAGTACTGCTTGGTTGCCCCAGCATCTTTGACTGTGGTCATGCTTTAGCTGTCCACTATTGTGAAAAATTATATTGACTTCACTCTTGTTCTTTTGAGATGCTGCTTGTCAGTGGACGACTTACAGCACAGGAATCTTTTTTTTAAAATATATTTTATTGATTTTTTACAGAGAGGAAGGGAGAGAGATAGAGAGCCAGAAACGTCAATGAGAGAGAAACATCGACCAGCTGCCTCTTGCACATCCCCTACCAGGGATGTGCCCACAGCCAACGTACATGCCCTTGACCGGAATTGAACCCGGGACCCTTCAGTACGCAGACTGACGCTCTACCGCTGAGCCAAACCGGTTTCGGCAGCACAGGAATCTTAAGAAAAACCTAAGAATCCCCAAGCCATCTCCTGTGGGTCCTGGCTGTGGCCAGAGGAAGAGGCTGGAGTTCATCATCTTACTGCCTAGCTTGAAGCCAGTTTTCATTGGTTGTCCCCTCTGGGGCTCCACCAATGCTGTTGCTGCTGTGGGTGGTGGGGGAGCCCCCAGGGTCATGTTGGCCAACTGGGCTCAGGGTGGCAATCCTTGATTTCAGGCTGCATAGGGAGGTTGTTTGGTCCTTCCTTCCACACTGTCTAGGGAATGGAATTCATCCCTTCCATGCTGGCTCGGTGGTCATCCTTCCTTCTAGTCTGGGGGAATGGCCATCCTTGCTTGCATGCTGCCTGGGGGAGCGGTGGTCCTCCCAGGCTTCCTGGGGGAGTGGGCATCATTGACTCTAGGCTGAGTGGTGGAGTCCCAGAGTCTCTGCTATTCTGCCCTGATGTCTGTGCTGGGGAAAGACTAATGTTGGGGTCTCAGGAGGCACAGGGCCTTACCCTGATCTTGGGGTTTTCATGCTATCTAGTATTAGATAAATTATATATCCTTCCTGTGAGTGATTCCTATATCTCATGCTACTCATATCCCATGTTCTTCATTATTTGGACTACTTGTGGGTCTAAGTCAACCCAAGGTGCCTCGAAGAATGGCCTCAGTTCCTCTGACTGGCCAATGTTGACTCAGTGGTCTTGCACTATATCTTTCATTGTTCGTCTTTGGCTGAGGTTGAGCATTATTAAGTTTTGTAAAAGTCTTTGACATTCCAGAGACAGGAAGTATGGTATAAAGAAGTGCCCACTTAAGATCTTCCTAACTTCTTCAAAATTTCCCCCCACAAATAGAAGTTCCCCTGTCACCATCCTGTAGAGTGCTTCCTCCATGCTCCAGATGTCCATGTTCGGGCCCTCATAGCATTTGAGCTGCAAGATCTCTGGGGCCATATAGGAGACGGTGCCATAGAATGTACTCAGTTTCTCTTCTGTAAATTTCCTACTGAAGCCAAAGTTTGCTAGTTTAACACTCATCTCACCTTCTAGAAAAATGTTCTCCAGTTTCAGATCCCAAAGTACGATGTGTCTCTGATGGCTATACTGGGCTGCTGATAATAATTGCCGGAACATAGCCGAAGCCGTTTTGGCTCAGTGGTAGAGCGTCGGTCTGTGGACTGAAGGGTCCCAGGTTCAATTCCGGTCAAGGGCATGTACATTGGTTGCGGGCACATCTCCGGTAGGGGTTGTGCAAGAGGCAGCTGGTCGATGTTTCTCTCTCATCGATGTTTCTAGCTCTCTATCTCTCTCCCTTCCTCTCTGTAAAAAATCAATAAAATATATTAAAAATAATAATAATAATTGCCAGAACATGGCTTAAACTTTTTTCTCTATCATGGGGCCACAGTTCTCTAAATAATCAAATAAGGCTGAAACCGGTTTGGCTTAATGGATAGAGCGTCGGCTTGGGGACTGAAAGGTCCCGGGTTCAATTCTGGTCAAGGGCATGTACCTTGGTTGCGGGCGCATTCCCAGTAGTGGTTGTGCAAGAGGCAGCTGATCGATGACTCTCTTTCATCGATGTTTCTAACTTCTATCTCTCTCCCTTCCTCTCTGTACAAAATCAATAAAATATATTTAAAAAAAAAAATCAAATAAAGTTCCTTCTCTAGCATGTTCCATAAAAATATAGACTTTGTCCTGATGGTAATGACCTCAAACAACTTTGTAATGTTGGGATGATTTAATCTCTTAAGAGAATGAGTCTCCTAAAGAACATCAGAGGAACCCTGCCAGGTGACAACTTTCACAGCCACCTCTGTACTGGTGACAATGTGACAGATCAGCCTAACCTCGGCAAAGGATTCCTTGCCAACGGTATTGAGGATGAGGTAGTTGCAATACGGCACTCCTCATTGGCAGAGATGACTACAAAGTCATCATACATGATGACTTAAAAAAATAAAAAATATTCTCTGAGATCTGTACCCACTGAAGTGGATCAGTGATGAAAATAGGAAAAAAAAAAAAAAAAAAAAAGAAGAAGGAGGAGAAGGAGGAGGAGTATAAGAAGAGAAGGAAGAAGAGGAGGAGAAAATAAAAAAAAAAAAGTTTAAAAAGAAAAAGACATTTTAAGTCACCCCCCCACACACACACACACCAATTATGAGAAAACAAACCAACTAGTATAACTCCAAGTCACCACCAAGCGGCTTCCTGCACTCTAATGGACTAAAACCTATTCTCATGCTCCAGGTCTCAGTTCATGTATCACCTGCTTAGAGAGGGCTTCCTACCTACCTCACCTAGCCCATCACTGTTGTCATTTTGATAGCACTGACCACAGTGTGGCTGATTCTTGTTTACGGTCTGTCCTTCCCATGAATGGAAGAGCTTGACTGTAGTAATCCCTGTGTCTAGCACAGTGTGTGTCAACAAAATGTTTAATCAACAATAATGTTTAATTAACAATGTTGATTATAAGAGTTTGGGGGAGCAAAAGAAAAATGGCCAACTATTTTACTTAATCAAAGAGATTCCTACAGCATCTTAACCATAGTCATGTTCTATCTTCACTCAGTTTTGGGGGCAGATAAAATAAGAAAGAGGAGGGTTGAAGTCTGGGTTTCCAGGTATGTGGGTTGGTGAGGCAGAAGAAAGTCTAACTGGTAGGAGTCTTGCTGTAAAAATTAAAGAAGATGATTCATCTTTCTAGTAGTACTTGCTAAGGATGCAATAAATTTGGATCTGCAATGAAGCTGTAATGTATTTTTACACTTTGAATATCCATTTCCAAATGACACAAAGAACTTCTCAGGTGACCCTGAGTAGACCATTTAGGTGAATTTTTATGTTACTTAAATGAACCATCTCTTTTAACCTTGCAACTCAGGAATTAGTTAACAATTTCCAGTATGGTCCAATCTAGTGCAACTAGAGGGTGTCCTTTTGGAGATGTCTTTCTTTTTTAAAAGTACATTTTTATTGATTTCAGAGAGAAAGGGAGATAGATAGAAACATCAGCGATGAGAGATAATTGCTGATTGGCTGCCTCCTATGCGCCCCTTACTGGGGATCAAGCCCACAACCTGAGTATGTGCCCTTGACCAGAACTGAACCTGGAACCCTTCAAGTCTGCAGGCTGACTCTATCCACTGAGTCAAACTGGATAGGGCTGGAGATATCTTTTTTTATTTATTTTATTTTATTGATTTTTCACAGAGAGGAAGAGAGAGGGACAGAGAGCTAGAAACATCAATGAGAGAGAAACATCAATAAGCTGCCTCTTGCACACCTCCTACTGGGGATGTGCCCGCAACCAAGGTACGTGCCCTTGACCGGAATCGAACCTGGGACCCTTCAGTCTGCATGCCAACGCTCTATCCACTGAGCCAAACCGGTTTCGGCTGGAGATATCTTTTTGATGAACCATGTATCCAGAAGATCATGATGTTTGGTGTCTACATCTCCTAGGAGTGTGCTGTGGATGGATTCTCTATAAATTTGAATAAGTTTCTTTCTACCTGTTTCTAAATTTCATTGTCTTACTATAAAACCCAGGGCCCTGGTGACATCTTGGTCTTGGACTTCCAGTCTTTACAATTGTGAGACAATAAATTTATGTTAAGAAAAAAAGAAAGCCGAGATTGGTTTAGCTCAGTGGATAGAGCATCAGCCTGCGGACTGACGGGTCCCGGGTTCGATTCTGGTCAGGGGCATGTACTTTGGTTGCGGGCACATCCCCAGTGGGGGTATACAGGAGGCAGCTGACCGATGATGATTCTCTCTCGTTGATGTTCTTTCCCTTTCTCTCTGTAAAAAAATCAATAAAATATATATTTTTTAAAAAGAAAAGAAAAAAAGAGAAAGATAA